CTAACCTACCTAACCTAACCTAACCTAACTTTTTCTGCTACCTAACCGAACCTAACCTATAAAGATAGGTTAGGTTAGGTTAGGTAGGGTTGGTTAGGTTCGGTCATATATCTACGTTAATTTTAACTCCAATAAAAAAAATTGACCTCATACATAATGAAATGGGTAGCTTTATCATTTCATGAATAAAAAATTAGAGAAAATATATTAATTCATGAAAACTTGGCTTATTAGGCAAATCGGGCCTTGCATAGTAGGCTGAGAAGTGCGTTCTGGCTACTAGGTACGACATATATATATATATATATATATATATATATATATATATATATATATATATATATATATATATATTTAAAAACCTAGAAGGGGGTACCACCTCTGGTGCAAGTGTAGGGACCCATAGCCTTGGAGAAGAAAATAAAGAGTACTCAGAGAAGACCTTGTGGATCCTCACTGAACACTTTGATATTTTCTTCTCCTACCACCCCTATTTTTTTCGTATGTGTGTATATATATCTAACTTCTTTTGGTATGTGTGTATAAATTGGCAGCACCTCCTGCTTGTGTAGCACTGAAGTCAACATAGGTGTTGGCTAATATATATATATTTTAAGAGTTTTGAAGTGAGAGAGCAAATTCACAATTGATGAGGATACGTTATTTTGAGATAAAGATCCCAACTTACGACGGGATGAAAAATATCAAATAGTCAAAGCACTGGCTAAACATCGCCAGTCGACCAACAAACTGGGTCACATTTGACCCGTACCACATTTACATCTAGTGCCACTAGCAGCCAAACACAGAACACAAATTCCTCGCCGCAGCACCAAGGATCAGCTGACGCTATAAGCACACCATACCGCCCTACAGTGCGGCAAGTTTCCCCTCTAGTACAAGACAACAAACACTTTTGCAACTTTGTTATTCTCAACATAAACGCGTCTCCCAACATTTGTACTCGTGCAGTCACCGGGAGGATAAACCCCTTCGTGGAAACTCAACCCGTTCTCGCACTTTCGTATAGTCAATATTGACTTATTAAATACGTGCATATGTGACATACTAGTTTACCTTGAAAAGCTTCATAGAAAACACCGACCTTACCTAACCTTCCTAGTATGTTAAGATAAGCATCTTATTGCTTCGTAATTACAATTATTATTTAACCTATTATAGGTATAGGTTAAGTAATAATTGTAATTACGAAGCAATAAGATGCTTATCTTAACATACTAAGAAGGTTAGGTAAGGTCGGTGTTTTCTATGAAGCTTTTCAAGGTAAACTGGTATGTTTAGTATGTCACATATGCACGTATTTAATAAGTCAATATTGACTGTAAGAAAGTGCGAGAACGGGTTGTGGAAACTGCACGTTTCCATCAACAAGAAGAAGACGGGATACGTTCGTAATTTCGTTTCGTAAATCGACTGGTTTCCCTCGAAACACGATTACCCAAACGCACCATGGTGTAAATGGGAAGTTCCTGAATTACTAAAAATCATCATATTTTTTTTTATTAATTTGAACTAGAAATAATGTTGAACAATTATTTTCATTTACCTTAATTAGTAGTTGATGAATTTCGACTGCCTTAGAGATGCAACATTGGCTGTAGGGGTGGTTGGGTGTGCTGCATTTTCATCACTTCCATGGGAATGTAGATGGTCTATTGTGGTCATTTACAGATTTGTTTCCCCTATATATAACTGTATATAGTTAGGGAAATAAGCCACAAATATATCCTCACTAGCAGTGTCACCTAATTTTTTTTTTAATCTTTAAGACTTATATACGAGCACAAAACTAATAGGAATTCGAAGGAGATTCTGGTTTTCAATCTACAAAATTATTAGGCTTTTCCATGCCAGCAATACTAATAACACTGCGCTTTTGGGTTACTATGATTGATTTTATCGGTGTTGGAAGCTTCACATGTTCTAAAATGCTATCATATTATCTTTGAGAATGGTGATAATTGCTATTCTACAGACATAGATGCTGGTCTGAGGCAGTCTTCCTCATTTCTCAGAGCGTTCTACTACGTCCACTAACATTTCCAGTGATATGGCTCTCCTTTATCTTATCCGCTGTGCACTAACACTAACACTCGTCCTAAAATTCACTATAATCATGTAGTATTTACTCCCAAAATTGCGAAAATTTGATCCCCGACGGATTCGAGACGGAGCGCCAAACAGCTGAGTGCGGCGCCGGACAACAACACCACCGCAGCGCCAACTGGTGGCGTCCGCCGCAAGCTGCCAATGGGTCCTCCATGTGCTCAAGGTTCCAATTGTAAACTATGGGAGCAATTATCCTCACATTAATAAGGCTTTATTAAAATCCTCAGATTAGGCAAAATTGTAATTAATTTTGTCAATAAAGATGTTAATTAAACTATGGGAACAGGAGCTGGGACACACTCTCCAACACTGTATCAGCGATTGCCCTGTTGTCAATGATTTTAGACCAAATGGTATGAGGTTCTTTGAACTTTGTAACTACTTCATACACTTACGAATATTGAAAGATATTCTTGTACCCATATTTTGCTAGGCTAATAGCTCAGCCTCGCATTTCATGTTCTCTTCTGATTCTATGTATGACTGTTATCCTGTGATATGGAGATATTATATAAACTTATGGGTAGATTTTAATCTACACTTTGCAGTCTTTCATATAGAATATGGTAGCAGCACATTGCTCGGTATACCTTAGCTTGTTAAAAGAAATTGTAATTAGGACCGCCTAAAGTCGGGTCCCGGACTTAATAATTCTTTATATTTACGTAAGAAATTTTTATTGACCAGCATACGCCAAAAGATGGCAGTTTAGTTGACTTCTCATTATTTTATTATTATTCATCGAGCAGCAAATAGGTACCAAGCAGTTAGTTTATTGCGGGGGTTGTATCCTGGGTAGGGAAGTAATTCGACCATAGGGGGAACGTCGATATATATACACATGAAAATCACAGAATGAAAATCATTGTCATCATAAAGCAGGAATCAAAGTGAAGATTAAATATTCTAACGGAAGTCCTCACACACCAAGAAAGTAGGACCAAACAAACTCATATTATATAATATACTGTATTGTCTTCTTACAAATCTATTACTATATAAAATATATAATAAACTACAAAATAGATCATATGATAAATATATTAGTCTATAAACCTCTAAAGTACATTAGAGTAAAGCACATATTTTTTGTATATTTTTAATTGGAATGTATAATAATAAATATATGTTTGAGGTAATATTTATGTACACCTGTGTGTGCACTAGAATGTGTGTGTGTGCACATATGTTCGTGTGCATTACACGAAGCACAATCATGTGTAATGATTACACAATCATCATTACTCATGCGGGTGTAATGATTGTTTATACAGGAATTTACATGATTATGGAGATATGTCTGTAAAAGGTCACTGTACTATATGTGTATTGCGTATGCTGATATCTACTTAAACAAGTGCATATACTTTCTCTCTATCTGTCCAAAACCAAACGCTCGCGGCTAGCCTCCTCCAAGACGAATTATGGAGGACATAAGTGTCACAGACTATTCGTGGTCGGCCCCAGTGCGGAAATATTGGCATTTATAGCATCCCCCCTCAACCCCCATCTCCACGCTCTCTTGCCATTTCCATGAAGTAAAGTCTCAGGTTTCAGACTGGCGGAGTGTCACCAGTGGAGTCCCGCAGGGTTCAGTCTTTGGACTTATACTATTTCTGATATATATAAATGATCTCCCAGAGAGTATAGACTCGTTCCTCTCAATGTTTGCTGATAATGCAAAAACTATGAGGAGGATTAAACTAGAGGAAGATAGTATGAGGTTAAAGATGATCCAGACAAACTGAATGAATGGTTCAACAAATGGCTACTAAAGTTCAACCCGAGTAAATGTAAGGTAATGAAACTAGGCAGTGGAAACAGAAGGCCAGAAACAGGATACCGAATGAGAGATGAAGTCCTTCACGAAACGGACAGAGAAAGATCTAGGAGTTGATATCGCGCCAAACCTGTCTCCTGAAGCCCAAATAAAAATAATAACATCGGCGGCGTATGCGAGGCTGGCTAACATCAGAACTGCATGCAGGAACCTGTGTAAGGAATCATTCAGAACCTTGCATACCACATATATAAGACCAATCCTGGAGTATGCGGCCCCAGCATGGAGCCCGTACATTGTCAAGCACAGGACTAAGCTGGAAAAAGTTGAGAGATATGCCACTAGGCTAATCCCAGAACTAAGAGGTTTGAGTTACAAGGAAAGGCTGCATGAAATGCACCTAACGTCGCTGGAAGATAGGAGAGCTCGGGGAGACATGATCACTACCTATAAAATTCTAAGAAGAATCGACAGGGTAGATAAAGATAAATTGTTTAATACGGGAGGGTACTCGAACAAGGGGGAACACATTTGGAAACTGAGTACTCAACTGAGCCACAGGGATGTTAGAAAGAACTTTTTCAGTGTCAGTAGTTAACAGATGGAATGCATTAGGCAGTGATGTGGTGGAGGCTGACTCCATACACAGTTTCAAATGTAGATATGATAAAGCCCAGTAGGCTCAGGAATCTGTACACCAGTTGATTGACAGTTGAGAGGCGGGACCAAAGAGCCAGAGCTCAACCCCCGCAAGCTCAACTAGGTGAGTACGTTCGCACGTGCATTATATTATATAATTTGAACTATATTCTTCAGAAGACTCAATGATATTCATTGAGCAATATGATAAAATAAATAGTAGTATTAAGTCACTATGTATCCTTGTGTTATCACTAAATATAATTATTGATATATTATTAAAATACTATAATAACTATGTTTATCATAAATACGATATTCTTATATGAGCGTTTATATTCGGAATGTATTTGTGTGTGTGTGTGTGTGTGTGTGTGTGTGTGTGTGTGTGTGTGTGTGTGTGTGTGTGTGTGTGTGTGTGTGTGTGTGTGTTGGTGTGTGTGTGTGTGTGTGTGTGTGTGTGTGTGTGTGTGTGTGTGTGTGTGTGTGTGTGTGTGTGTGTGTTAGGTCTGGAAATCACACGATGTATTTTCTGAACGCCAAAGCAGGTTAGGGAACTCGTTCTTAGTGACGTTGAAAGAGCGTGAACTCATTGGTCCTGTTATCCCTAAGAGCTCAGCACACCTCGAAACCAAGAGATATACGCTGAACGGAACTCTACGCAAGTATCCGTTTACCGACCGTCTGAGTCCTCTCGCTTAGGAGACATAGCCAAGACTCTCTAACGCGTATGCTTCCCATTATTTGCATAAACACGATCCGAAGCCGTGAAGAAAATGACGTGTATGCGTGTGTGTGTGTGTCCTGGGGATGGCCATATCTTAGGACCCGGGAGGCGTGCTCTGGCAGTGAATCAAGTCGCACAGGACGCGGATGTATCGAGCCAGCAGCACTACTCTCCACTCCTCGTCGGAGCACTTGACGTGATCTGGGCTCCTGCAGCACTTCTTCACCGTATCCTGAGGATCTGTGGGGTGGCAGGAGAAGGAGGAGGAGACATATTACAAACAAGACTGAATATACAATCGCACGTGATCACACGTGCAGCTTTGAAATGTCATATGTATCGTAAGAGTATTTTATTATGAGTTTCCCCAGATATTCAGCTCCGAAAATTCAGCCCTAATTAAAAAAAAGTACTTTGTATTATTGCTTCGTTTTATGTATTACCTTCATACTTGTGCTCTATTCTTGTTATTGCTTAACTTTCAACATATTCTTTTATTTGTATAACTAAAAATTTATCCCAACCTAACATAACCTAACCAAACCTTAGCGCATCTAACCTGCCTAGCCTAACCTAACCAAAATCCGTGAGCCTAACCTAACCTAAATTGAGGTTGACACAGCCTAACCTAATACATCCTAACCTAACAGTAAATATACGGATTATACAAACAGAATATAACCTTTGTCGAATATGATCATACCCGCAGAGTCCAATCTCACCTAAGGCAAAGTCCCGGATGGCGTTGAAGTCGCGTTTACAGAGCGAAAAGAGCGGGATTCCTGGGAAGACTCGGTGAGCCTCTGGCTGGCCGTCGCAGTAGTGTCTCATCTGCTTCACCTCTCCCCGCGCCTGCTGCAGGAGACACTGAGGAGGAGGACCAGCACAGGTAGATGTTAGTCACGGGGGTGTAGAGACGCGTTTTGCATCATGGAAGGTCTGTGGTGTGGGGTGTGGGGTGGTTGTGTGGGTGTGCGTGGGTGTGTGTTGGGGCGGAGGTGTGTGGGGTGGTGTATAACTGATGATGATGACACTACTGAACATGAACTACACTGATGATGAAGGTGCCAGAGCCAACACAGTCAAGTATACAATCATGAACCACTGGAGAAGACTTGAAGGCGTAGTTCCGTGTTGGAGGAAGAGGAGGAGACATAACAAGTGTTAGGTGGGAGTCGTAAGAGGTATGACTGGCACCTGGATACGAGCACTGCCTGGCTACGAGCAGCGTATCTCCAGGAGAGGATACGAATATTTGTTTTATATTTCTTTGAATCATTTGTGTTTCCAGCTTCCATGTATGTTCTCTAATGCTACTCTAATGAGTCGCAAGAGGTATGGCTGGAGCCTGGATACGAGCACTGCCTGGCTACGAGCAGCGTATCTCCAGGAGATACGAATATTTGTTTTATATTTCTTTGAATCATTTAGTGTTTCCAGCTTCCATGTATTTCCTCAAATGCTACTCACTCTTGTCTTAAAGATGCCGTCCTTATCCACATTGTCTATTACCCTCAGAGTGTGTATTAAATGATCAGTGACCCCCTTATCTCATGCTCTCATTTAGTGTTGTGAAACATATTAGCTTAATTCTCTTAATTCACGTACTAGTTGTGTTGCCAACCTATCAACATTTCTAAGTTTCATTTAACACTTCACATGGTTCGTGTTCCATGCCGGTGCTGCGTATTAGGATGTTTGTCTGACATAGGTTGTATAGATTGTCTTAAAAGATTCATTGTTGAGATTTTAAAATGCCTTCTACCTGAGGGTAGGAGGAAGTGGTTTGCGGAATAGGTAGCTTGGGGCGAATGCAAGAGGAGGCTACACCCACCCACCTCAAAACGGTGGGTGTTGGGAAGGTGAGGGAGTAGTGGAGGTAGGGGATGGATGGGGAGGGGGGAGGTGCTGACCTGTCCGTGGTTGTGGTGGTGCCGTGGTTTGCTCAGCACGATTGATGTCTGCAGCAGCAGCAGCAGCAGCGTCGTCAGCGTCAAGCGCCGAACACAAGTTGCCTGTCACACACACACAGAAACAAACACAACCTCATTAAAACCTTGTAAAATACTAAATACACCCTTATAAGACTATTGATTTAATTATATTATTGATATGTATATAAGTTTAAATATTTATCAGTGACTTTAAAGTGCCAACTGGAGGGCCAAATCAAAAAATAAATTTGTGTGTAAAATATTTTACAAAACTGTATAATCTCAGCGAAAGGTTATGAAAAAGCGCTGAGGAAGGTGGGAGTGAAGGATTTGCGTTTGTTTTTATTGAGGAAAGTTGTGTTTGGAATGTGTGTTTTTGAAGATGTATTTGGCTGGGGTGTATCGAAGGTGTATTTAATAGTGTGATTGTTTGAAGAGTGTGTGTGTTGAAAGTGTATTTGGAAGGCGTGTTTGGAAGGTGTGTTTGGAAGGTGTGTTTGGCAGGTCAGTCTTGATGACTGAAGCTACAACAAGCCTTAAGAGGAAGTAAACAAAGGTGTTCACCACTTTACCATTTTGTTTGAGTGACAAAAGACTGCCTGTCTTCTCGTGGACTGTGCCAGTTGGGCTCCTGCAGCTGCTTGACAGGTGATGCAGAGGGATAAACTGATCTTCTAAACTGTTAAGAGTGATGATTGCCTTCACCTCTGGCTAGGGATATGGGGCAGTGATCGGGGGGGGGGGGCGCTGGTGTTGGGGGGCCGCTGGTGTGTGGGGGGGCCGCTGGTGTGTGGGGGGGCCGCTGCTGGTGTGGGGGGCCGCCGCTGCTGTGGTAGCAGAGGTATAGAACCTCTACGTAATGAGGGGTGAGGGAAGTCCAATGTGTGAGTGAATGGTGAGGCGAAGGTGTAGAGACTTGAGTGTCAAGATATTGGTGTCGAAGCGTTGGTGGGGTCGAACCGGTGGGTGTCGAAGCGTTGTGGGGGTCGAACCGGTAGGGGTCGAAGCGTTGGTGGGGTCGAACCGGTGGGTGTCGAAGCGTTGGAAAGTCGAACGGTGGGGGTCGAACCGGTGGGTGTCGAAGCGTTGGTGGGGGTCGAGCCGGTGGGTGTCGAAGCTTTGGAAGGTCGAACGGTGGGTGTCGAAGCGTTGGTAGGGGTCGAGCCGGTGGGTGTCGAAGCTTTGGGAGGTCGAACGGTGGGTGTCGAAGCTTTGGGTGTGTGCGTGTAGAAGTGTTGGTGAGGACACACTATAACGAGAGAGCTGCCTGGTCGCGTCCTGTGCTCCGCCGGGTTCTTCCTGCAGGGAGAACGAAGGTGTTATTACCCTGCAAACAGAGACAATTAAAGTGCAGGTAAGTAAACGTGAAACTCAAAAACAGTCGACTACCAAGAAAATGTTGTTTTAATTTGTTATTTAACGAACAACCAGGTAAACGCTTTTGTCACAGAGTTGCATTTTCTGACACAGGCACTAATGTGTGGGTGTTAGGAACGCGGGAAAGGAACAAAAGAGACAAAGGGATTTTTTTTTTTTTACATCTCCAGATAAAATGGAGGCTTGCGTTACTGATGACCTGTGTTTAACGCAGCCTTGTGGGGAGGGAGAGAGAGAGAGAGAGAGAGAGAGAGAGAGAGAGAGAGAGAGAGAGAGAGAGAGAGAGAGAGAGAGAGAGAGAGAGAGAGAGAGAGAGAGAGAGAGAGAGAGAGAGACAGGGAGAGAATGAGAATAAGAGAGCAGAAGAAGAAGAGATAAAGTTGACATACACAATATAGAGGTCAGAGGTCACTTCAGAAGTCAGTGGTTCACCATATACACGTACAGTACCATTCTTCAAGCATTTACGTAGCCACTTACGAAACCTGTACATCTTTCCTCAATCGTGGCGATTTTTTACATTTATTAAGTACTTTATGAGCTCCGAAGCACTGCGAGATTGTTTATAATGTCAACAAAGCCGCGAAAATTAGGCAAAGATGTACATATTTCGTAATACAATGGGTCATTTAAGGGGGCGACACCCTGGAAAATGAAAGTTGTTCAATGTCAACTAAGATTTTTTGACTAGTTGTATATGAAAAGGGCTGCAATTGTTCCAAGTTTCAGTACTGCAGCCTAAATAGAAAGGGAGATTTTTTAATTTTGTTTATTTTTACAAGTTTGTATTACAATAAACACCACACAATGTTAATATATATAAGACAGAACAAAGATTATCAATATTACTAAAACAGTGTCACCTCTCAAGGCAAAACAAGAGAGAGGTGCGGGGACCGCTGACAACCCATGATGAGGCTGTCATTAGGCCCGGACCGTCACCTAATATTTACACCTTTTTTTCCACCCTCTTTTGTGTGGGTAGTAACTTTTTTATATTTCTTTACTGTTGGTAATCGGAGAGAGAGAGAGAGGACATCAGAAGATTGTTCTTAGGTATCCCCCCTTCTCCCCCCCCTCTCAGAGACACAAGACCCTGTTCCCCCTTCCCTTAAGGTGAAGGAGCACCGGGAGTGTTCTTACATACCCCCCAAAAAAGTATAACTGCGAGCTGTATACTGTTATCGCTCATCAGCTCCCTAAAGCCTCATCCTAGAAACTAATTTCATGAACTCGGTGTTTCATTTTCATTAAGCACAAGCTTTATGTAACGCTTTAACTGTAATTTATTAGGCTCAGGAAGAAGCTGGAACGGGCTGTATGCCAGAGACTTCATATTTGTCGGTTGACTGAGCGAGTCTTCTCCTTTGTTGCACGCAACTGAGATGTAAATAATTTTCACGCTCTTTAAAAGGAATTTTTATTATATTTTAAAGCTTGATTTATATTGCCGCAACGGCCGTGACACTATTCTAGAACCTCCGGCCGGGCTTTTGTTCAAACTATGCTAGCTTATGTTCATTACGTTCTGCGGAATGTAAAGTTCAAGAGATACAAGTATGTGAGTTGTGTGAGGGGAAATGTGAGTTATATTACGCGTGGTGAGTGTGCACGAGGAATGTGTGTAGTTAAAGAGGCTTGAGCTGTACGAGGCGTGAGGAATGTATGTGTGGTGAAGAACATTTGGTGGTAATTCATTATACAGTCAATCCAGCCAGTGTGAAAAGACGGCCTGGCTGTTAAGCTCATCGTTAACCTTCTAAGCCAACGACTGGCCTTCCTCTGAAAGTTTATGACGACAGGAATCATACCCAGGACCGCTGTACATCACCATTGTTCCATAAACAAACCTTATCTGGACTAACGTAGCCTAGCCTACCCTAACCTGTCCTATTCTAATTTGACCTAACCTAACCAAGCCTAGACGGCAGATTAGAGTACAAATGGACATTTGTAGTGTGAGAAGTGAGGAACGTGTGTGTGGTGTGGGGTAAGCCTAAGTGCTAACACAAGTGGCGCCATCTCCTTCAACCATAGACACAACACCCAAACATCCAACCCCCTCCACCAACGTTCCTCAACCCCCACCACCACACACATTCCCCACCCTCCCTCAACCCCCACCGCCCACCTGGACATCACCTGATATGTTGTGATACTCGGAGACACGACTGTGTCAACTTGTCACATACTTCACCGTGGTGTACCTGTCAACATCAGTGAGTTTCGCAAAGCTGTGGTCGGAGGAACTCTGCCGAGGAATGTTGATGAGTGCTGTAGTGTTCTTGTTATTTAAAAATAGAGTGCCAGGGTTAGTTGGGAGTGCCAGGATTAGTCGAGGCCAGGATTAGTCCAGTGCCTAGATTAGTCTGGGATTAGTCAAGCACCAGAATGCAAGAATTAGGGAGTAGCCTATCCACATTCACTTCACTTTCATGATTTGATATTTTGTTGATGGATTTTCAACATTATCCTTATTCCCAGTCTTTATTTACCATCCCAGTTATCCATATTATTAGTAAATATATATATATTAAAAAAAAGTCCCAGGATTAGTCGAGAGAGCCACCTAATCTTTCGCTCAGATGCATAGAAAACATAGCTATTTGTGAACCTTTACTTTCCATAGTGAGTTGCATTTATTGGTTACCATGACGTATAATACACGACCTATTAGTTGAGAGGACGGGTTGAGATAGAATCCTTCTCGTAATGTAGACTCGTATTCTTACTAAGACTAATGTGAAACTGACATGGCGAGAGCTAAATATTCATTTTCAGGTTAACTTTCTTAAATACTGAGAGAGAGAGAGAGAGAGAGAGAGAGAGAGAGAGAGAGAGAGAGAGAGAGAGAGAGAGAGAGAGAGAGAGAGAGAAATTCAACCTGTCGTCTCACTTAATTCTTCGCAATTTTTATTAGAGAATTAATAAAAAAAATCGTTCTCCATTCAAGAAAAACACTGCTAGTTTTTTTTTAATAAATCTGGCAGGACGCTAATTATGCTTTTGTAAGCATCACTATAAATGCTTTATAGCGTCTCTTAACCGCTGTTAAGTATTCAATTTCTTTCTTTATTATGCACCCCATACCCATCCCGTGGGCGGTGATGTAAAGGATTACAGAGGCACATAATCGGTTCAGGAACTGAAACCTCTAGTTAAGACCAATGTAAAATGTTATTTTCTGACAATTTATGGGACAGAGAAGTCATCTCATCACTGATCTCAGCCTCTGAAGGACATCTCAGCCTCACTCTCCGAGAGGAAACACCTGAGGAACCCGCTCTATCATACTTCTCACATAGAACCCGCTCCATCTATCATACTTCTCACATAGAACCCGCTCCATCTATCATACTTCTCACATAGATAAAAATAGCCTAAGCCACTCTATCCCTTTGAGATGTATTTTTTTTCTTGTCTCAATAAACATACTTGAACTTGGGCTAATCAAATATTTAAGTTATTCCTCTTTTTTTATATTGTTCGTGATCTTGAATGTTTCGTTAGTTTCCACTTTATTTTTTTTTAAGCTGATTCACATTTTCAGAACAATGTTTATGTGGAGAAGTGATACCCAATTACCGGAATGTAAGCTTGAAGTTTCTTATCAGAGTTTGATAAGAAACTTGAGTTTCCTAAGTTGTATTGGCCTCGTATAAGTGGATCAGGTCTGTCGTACGAACTACGTCTAAACTATTTGTCTGTCCTGTTGGGTCGTTATTATTTTGTAATATTTAATTAACCTCAATTTCTGGTACACAGCTCCAGCTTCAGCCTTTTACTAACATGATTGTAACTTGGCATTAAAGTTTATTCCTGGTGGTAACAAATAACAAACTCATTAAGTAAATTAGTTTCTAGAGTGAGGTTTAAGATGAGCTGATGTAGGATAACAGATTCTAGTTTATCATTGCATGAAGATTCTCAAGTGACATTCCTCCATCATAGACACAGCACCGCTCCTGTGCCAGGTAAGTCCACTACGGGCTCACCTTAGCCTGTGCTACTTGCCCCGCTCCTGTGCCAGGTAAGTTACGGGCTCACCATAGCCCGTGCTATGGTGAACCCTATTTATATATATTTATATATGTATATATATATATATATATATATATATATATATATATATATATATATATAAATAGGGTTCCCGTCTCCTAGGGTTCTCCTGGAACCCTAGGAGACAAACATTGGGATTAGGGTACTTGACATTTGCTGCAAGACCGACACAAGGAGGAGGCGCAGGAGACGCTAATTTGACACAAGTGTCGGTCGTCAGCACAAACAGGTTTGAAGATCTTGCAGAGGTGAATGCCAGCAG